GAAAGAGGTTGGAGTGAGTTGATCCAGACATCTCGCATAAATAACTGGGAAGTGCCAGTTAGAACTTATGAACTGACAGTGGAGAATTTGGCTCTCCGGTGTCAGCAACTTCTGTATGTGTGTTCCTCACAGGCCCTTCTTGTAGGACTCCGTGCCAGCCAAGCGTTGGTATCACTCGGAAATTGGACTGTGCCTAAGCCAATTTTCAGGAACAATGTCCCGTTTAGTCAGTTATGAAAGAAGGAGGCAGGCCCTAACTGGTTTGGCTCAGTGGATAGAGCATCAGCCTGCGGACTGAAGGGTCCCAGGTTCGATTCAGGTCAAGAGCATGTGCCTTGGTTGTGGGCACATCTCCAGTAGGGGGTGTGCAAGAGGCAGCTGATTAATGTTTCTCTCTCATCAGTAGTTCCTTCACTCTCAAACAAAACAAAATCATTGGCCTGCCAGGGTCATTAAGGACCCCCGGGTTGTCATAGAAACGACCTTTGGGGCCCGGTGGTTGTTAATGCATGAGTGACTGCCTGCATTGTGTGCTTGGGGAGAGGTCAGAGTTTTGGAAAGAAAGAAAGAAAGAAAGAAAGAAAGAAAAAGAAAGAAAGAAAGAGGCAGAAGCATCGGTGGTAAGGGCAGTGACTGTAACAGCAGAAGTGGCAAGGAAGTGCCCCTTTAGACTCGGAAGAGTGGGCATTTCTTTGGGGGCTAACTTTTGCTTAACCTGCCGGCCTCAAATCCACACCCGCTTCTGAATCTTCCCTCTCATTGGCCGAGGTCCCCTCTGCAGCCACCCTACTGTGTGGTCTTCAGAAAGGTTTTGATAGAGTGTGTACACAGGCACATAAATAAACTCTTCCACATCTTTGGTGGGTCTTGTATGTTAGATTCTTACAATCATGCCATGTATGTTAGAATCATAGAACCTTAGCACTAGGAGGAGTCTTTATGATTACCAAATTCCGTCATCTCATTTTTCAGATAGGAAAAACAACAACACTGTGTGTAAATGGGCTCATCTGAGGTCACACAAGTAGTTAGGGTTAGAGCTAGGCAGCTTACGTTTGCTGGGTTTAGCAAATAAAAACAAAAGATGCCCAGGGTCTTATGTCCATTGGTGATGCTGGGGAATAGGGGAGGCTAGGGGACTGTCTAGGGCTGGGGAGGGGGGTGGGAAATGGACACATATGTAATACCCTTTGTAATAAAAAATTAAAAAAAAAAACAAAAACAATACATTTTTTAAAAAAAAAGATGCCCAGGTAAATTTGAATTTCATATCAGTGTGTCCCAGGTATTTCATGAGATCTAGTTATACTAAAACAATATTTAATATTTATCCGGAGTTCAAATTTAACAAAGCATCCTGTATTTTGTCTGTCAAACCAACCAGACTTCAGTCAGAGCCTCCTAACATTGCCACATACTCTTACTTGATTCATTGGCTGTTTTCAGAAGAGATTTTAAAAACACAGCAGAATGACAAAAATACCTTTATTTATTTATTTTTTTACAATTTCAGATAGCTTGTAGTCCTCTAAGCATGTTTGGAAACAAGGATAAATAAAGGAAAATCTGGAGCATATACACATTTCTTTCACTCCGAGATAACCACTCTGGTTCTGGCATATTGCTTCCAAGTTTCATTCTAGGCGTATGATATTCATCTACACTTACATACCATTTTAAATAAAGGAGGAAAGTTTGAATATCTGATACTCTTTTATAGTTAAACTAAAACAGACATGTGGGTTTCAAGCTAGCATAGCTCGCCACAGATTTTATTGCTGTATCATTATTACTCAATGGTGGCTTGCTACAGCAGATCATTGAAAGCGTTTGGGCAGAATGAGCTTTAAAGGGGCATTTAAATTTATTCTCAAACCTAATCCAAGTATGAAGTGACTCTAAAAATGTTGGTTAAATAGTTAATTAGGAATTGGCTTTTGACCACATCTGAAATGTGCATGCCTTCGTCAATGCCTTTGTGTACGTAGCTCTGTGTATACAATTTCATTAAAGGCCTATTCCTACTGTTAGCTTGACCTTCTTAAATAAAAATGTTCCCATTCTTTCTGGGGGAACATTTGTCTTACTTTCCTGTTGTAGTATTTTGTCTTCTTAATGAGATGATAACACTCCCCTCCTGCCTTAAAGCTGATACAGCCTTATCTTTGCCATTTCTACCATATTTTATGTGCCGTTTTCTTTAAAACAGTGACTACATATTTTAATTAAATTTATTGGGGTGAAATTGCTTAAGAAAATTATATAGGTTTCAAGTGTGCAATTCTGTGATACATAAATATTGTTTAAAAAATCTTAAATTCTACTTTTTTTCAAAACTCAAAGATTTGACTTTTTCCACAATCCTAAATCAGCCTCGTCATATCTTTTGCAATGCTTCTTTTTATAACGATAGATTTAGACTTGAATATACTTTGGTATGTAAATCTGATCTAGCTTATAGAGCATCTTTCAACTAGATGATTACTTTCTTGAGGTGATGGACATATGTATTAATGAATAAATTCTGTTGTACTGCATCTTTTCTACTAGATATTCAAAACATACTAATTAATTTTTTTTTGATCCTCACCCAAGGACACGCTTATTGATTTTAGAGAGAGTGAAGTAAGAGAGGGAGGTGAAATTGAGAGACTGAGAGAAACATCAGTCTGTTTCCTGCTGGTGATCAGTCCCAACTGGGGACCAAACCCACAACCTAGGTCTGTGCCCTGACCAGAAATCAAAGCAGCAACCTTTCTGTGTATGGGACGATACTCCAACCAACTGAGCCACAACCAGCCAGGGCTACTCATTAACTTTTTAAACCACCTCTCGAAGTGAGCAAATTGGCTTTTCAGTCTCTTGATTTGAATCTTTTCAATTTGCACAGAGCCCCCTCCAGTCATCCAAGTGCCTGCTAATGTTACAGTCGCTCCTGGAGAAAGAGCAGTTTTGACATGCCTTGTCATCAGCGCAGTGGATTACAATCTAACCTGGCAGAGGAACGACCGAGATGTCAGACTGGCAGACCCAGCAAGAATGCGGACCTTGGCTAACCTCTCACTGGAGCTCAGGACTGTGAAATTCACCGATGCTGGAGAGTATCGTTGTCTGGTTTCCAATGAAGGAGGATCATCAGCTGCTTCAGTTTTCCTCACAGTGCAAGGTACTGTGCTGATGGTAACTTCTGTGTTACAGTGTCTTTCCGTCTCCTCCTTTGGCCTCTGTCCCCTTAAGATGGCTATCTGAGAGTGACAGTATCTACCCAAGCAGTTACAGTTTGAATGATGGGATGCCTGTGGGGCTCGAGTGGTCGGTCTAAAGCTGACTAAAGTGGAAAATAAAACATCGATAATTAATACATGACTTTAACGCTAACACAACTAATCCTAGTAGTTGAAGGCTTTTGTTTCAAGGGAATATAAATAGAAATTGTCTCTGGATAGTTTAATGGTTTTAAATTCTCCAATCTATCATGTGGATTTTTACCGTGTTCATGGATTGGTAGAATCAACAACATTAAAATGTCCATACTACTCAAAGCAATTTATAGATGCAATGCAATCCCCATTAAAATACCAATGATATATTTCACAGACCTAGAACAAACTCTCCAAAAATAATCTAATTGTTTTAATAACTCATTCAAAATTTCCCCCCAATTTAATTATATTAGCGTCGTATCTAACTAATAATGTACTTGTATTGTTTTAATTAAGGTTTAAGTTGTTTCTCATCCTGGTTCAATTGTATTGAAACTTCAGCAGAGTTTTACTTTATTTATCTTACACATACACACACACACAAAGAATGCATATTGAAGATAAACTAATGGTAAGCCAAACTTGAATTATGTCTACATAGGTTGAATGTTCTGATAGCTGAAAACAATGATTTAATGGCTACTAACAATGTATATTACTCAGGACCAACAAATTAAGATCAGGGACATTCCAGAGTATCTTTTTCAGTAAAATCATACTTGGCTTCTAAATGGCTATAGACCAGTTGGCAATCTTAATGTAATGAACAAATTACTACTGGCAGTGTTTCACGGTTAGGCTGACAGGTTCATTTCAAATCCTTGAGGTGGGAAATCACTTACTTCAGAATTGGGTCTGGCTATTTGGTTATGGTATTAAAAACAACTTTATATCATGTTCGAAGTAACACTCTCAGATGATTTCTGAACAAAGTTATCTGACACACTGACCAGTGAATTTCAAGGCTAGATCTCAGAATATTATTAATGGCAGAAAAGCGAAACTACCTTGAGAATTAATAAACTGGTTGCTGTCTGATTCTAGTTTTCCCACGGGTAGTTGAGTTATGTTCTGCAATCTGAATGTGTGCCTTTTGTTAGTTGATCCGGTGGAACCTCCAGGGAAACATTGCTTTATAAATGGTTCGGTACATTTCCACATGATAAACCGCCTAGATAATTTGAGTCACTCCAAGTAGAAACTTGAGTTACCAGAATTTTGGAACTATTTTTACTAAACTGATTGTTTCAGATAGAATGCCTAATGGCCTTCGGAAATCTGATCTTGGTTCTTTACCCGAAGTCCTTTAGAATGGGATTATAAAATAAGATCAGAGCCCGCCTTGTTTACCCAGGTTAACGTTTTCCCTGGTGTGAGGCTTGGGATTCTGCATTTGTAACAGACCTCTCAGAGGGATTCATGGGCAACACTTTCTGAAACTAGCATTTGACTCTATTCTAGAGCATGAACCCTATGATCTAGAAATATATATATTTAAAGGAAGCCCTTGACTCTCTTCTTTTTGGTTAAATAGAGTAATTATTATTATTAAATGATTTGAGAAAGTATTGAGGTAAGAGGTTACCTAATATACAGATCATAAATACAAAAAACATGTGACATTGCATGATTACTGGCTAGTCTGTATAATCTCTAGTGGTGTAAATCTGTTTAGAGGCATTATTTTATGGTCTGTCTAGTTGGCCTTGAGCTTGAGGGACCAGTTTGAATAAAAAAGGATGTTTTGAGAAGATAACAAAAATATATTCCAGAATTGATGAAAACTAAGAGACGAGCTAGTTGTAGTTGTTTGAATATATTATTTTATATACCTAGGATTATAATTTAGAGAATGGAATTTCATATGTAGGCATTACTGTATACCATGCGGAATGATTGAAACACCTAGTTCAGACCTGGGCTCTGCCATTTTCTGACTTGGCACCCTAGAGCAAGTCACTAACAACTCAGAGACTCCTACTCTTTATGGACAAAATACAGTTACAAATAGCACAGTTTGTGAGGGTTAGATGGCATAATGTATGTCATGAACTTTTAAAAATGCTTGAATGTTTGTAGATTTATTGGACTAATTTAGTGGGTTGAAGTGTTTGCTCATTCCTCATCTGATCTATCTCTTCCTAGCAGTCCCTGCACTGTGAAAGCATGAGTATCTTCCCCCGGCTATCACATTCTAGAATTTAAGCTCTCCAAGATCTGGAAATCTTTTTGTGTAGCTCGCTTAAATCCATCAGGCTTGACTTAATCTGCATCTTTTCATGGTTCATTATTGCTGGAAATTAACATGTCCTTGATGTACAGCTTCTCTCTGACAATTTCCTATGTACTTGACATGCTTATTATGTCACCATACCCCTTTCTTTTCCTATTACAATGTAAATAATTCTTGACCTTTCCTTGTACCTTCCCATTAAAGACATTCCAACATTTCTTTCTTCTAAGTACTAGAGAAATATGATTCTCTCCATTTATGATTAAAGTGCTCTAATATCTTCACACCAAATAGATGCCTTAAAAGAAAAACAAAAAGAAATAAAATGTATGATATTCATTTATACATTTTATTGCATGGAATTGGACCGTTATAAAAGAAGCTTGCCCCTAACCATGAAGTCAGTAGAACACATTCATCAGACAAAGTAACTGAATATTAAACTTTTCTCTTCATATCTTAGAGTGAGTTAAGAAAGCAAATACTTCCGTGGTCAAACTACATATTTTTTAGATATCATTGCAATGAATACTTGATGCAAAAATTCACTAAAATATTTGTCTTCAAATCCAAGGGCCTCCAACTCACTCCTTATTAGATCCTTAGTACAGAAGGCAACAAAAGCTTATATTGTATTTTAACAGAGCATCTTATTCATTTGTGCTGATTCATATCGAGACAAAACAAGCAAGGCAGCAAATAAAATTAACTGTTGACAGAAAGCAATGAATTAGGGGTTTTCATTTTAAGTATATGATTTCACCCTATCTAAATAAAATCCACAGAGATGGCACTCGCATTCAAAACAGACATAAATATATATGTCTCAGGTCAACCTCCCAAAACAAAAAGCTTCACTGTATTAAAATGTCTAGGAAAAGAATGAGCTAGGGTATGTGGTGAAATGGCTGTGACCAATAAGGGCTACAAGGACTGCCACGGAGATAGTAAGACCAACCCCCAACAGATTTATGGCTTAGGAGAGGCAGGAGACCAGCTCAATCCAATATGGCAACTAATTTCACCTTGCAGTCACTCCTAGCTTCATTATAGGCTATAGAAGGACACAACGTGGCCAACAGAACTCTTCTGAGAAGTCTCTACCCCTCCGCCTGGAAAACACTAACTATTCCTTATTTATTGAGTGCCCTACCCCTTGATTAAGTGAACCTCAATAAAACAAGTAAATTTCACTGTCTTAACTTCTTCCCTAATAAACTCCCTTTCATTTTAAATTCTATGCTGGTTCAATTTTTGAATTCTTCCCTGCATGAAGCCAAGAACCCACAGGGGGTCAAGGACCTTCAGATACCTGGACCTCTGGAATGCCTGCATCAGAAACAATTTCGTTATTCAAACATGGGTATAGACAGCTACACATCAGAATGTATTCCTGTGAAAATCATGCAAAGGGGAAACTTGAGGAAGATACTGCTGAAATTTCCGTGGCTCTCTTATTAGGCTATTCATTGTAGGAAAACCTGACTAGATTATCAATCAAAATTCTGCATTTTTTTTCCAAACTCCCTTTGGTTCACAAAGGATTTAAAGCAACTTACTCTGTAATGTAATCCTGTAAAATTCCAGTCCCCTGAGCTTCCCAATATGAATTTTTGTACTGTGGAAAAGTTCTAATTTTACTCTTTAAGTTTAATTGCCTTACGACTCTTTTTAATTACAAGGAACTCCCTATGGTGGACACCTGTATGAAAGAAATTTTAAAGTATACAGAATAACTCCTGAAATTTTATAGATAGGAGATAAACCTCCCCAGTAAGTGGAACAGTCACAGGTAATCCTTTTGGAAGGCCAAGTGAGGTCATCATCTCAACTCTTACGGTAAATTCCTTGTATTTAGCTTTTTAAAATAGATTTCATACTTTTAGGGGGAAAATCACTTTTTAAAGTGTTCACAGAAAAGAAGTGCAGTATTGTGAACAAAGTTTCTAGATGATTAGCAACTGCAGGAAAAGAAATTTCGTATTAGCAAGATTTCTCCAAAGTTACCTTTTCTGCTAGAAGAGTTTTATTCATTAAAGGAAGTTCTGCCTGGGTCTTGAGTTCCTCAGGAGTGTGCTGCCACAGCCTTTGGGAATAGGGGCCATATTTGAACAGTGATGGAAGAAAGGGGCCAAAGACTAAGATCGTTTATATTTTCTCTGCATACGGAAACAGTAAGTTAGCTCACTCGTCGGCACCTACAAATAAAGGTGATCTCCTGCACAAGCAAGGTAAGTGTGGTCCATCTCCATAGCCACAGAATGAGGGCACAAACTTAGCCAGGGCAGTGCTTTGTAAATGAATTAACTTCATTTGAAACATGAAAAAGGAAAGCCCAGGTGGAAGGCATAGAATATGTAAGACCTAAAGTTACGAAGAAGTGCCACCACGGACACACTGGGTCTGATGTTATTTTATGTTGATATCAAGTGGTAGATTCCCTTAAAGCTAATATATTTAAACAAGTTTTTCATTATTTTAAAAAGTAATAGTTTTCTAACCTGAGCTGGTACCGTTTCTCAGTTATGTACACTTGGAAAGAACTTGCACTGCTCAGCATGCAGTAACGGAACTGTTGTCACCACCTTATTTTCCTAACTGGACTGGAATGACCAACGCACACATTTCAGATTAGCCTAGTAGCATTTTATTATACAAGTAGAAGAATCG